TGTTTTAGAATGAAAAGGCTCTCCAAAATGCCTCGGTTCACATTTAACATGCTAACAGGCCCGTAGAGTCTGAGATGGAGCTTGTGGTGCCACAGTCTGACCTTTGGGTGAACCTGCCGGGAAGATCGGCGACATTCTGGACTGTCCCTCGCTTAAGAACAATATTTTTCCCCGTAGCACGACGGGCTCGTAGTTTGGAAACGGCTCTCGTTTCACAAATCGATGGTCGGGAATTGCCTTTCGAAGATGATTGCCGATACCTCCCTTCCTCGCCTTTGCTTTGACACCTGAATGATCCAGAATAGCAAACCACTGCTCTTTATAGAAGTCCTCACATTTGCAATCGGCTCATTTCTAAAGTGCTTTCGATCGGCCGAACATGGCTGCCACTTGACTTCTTCTTTTCTAAGCGTTTATATGGTTTTTCACAGACTTCTTTTTGTTATTTTGACATATGTTGCTGTTCGCGTGAGGTACAATCTGTTTAATTTCCATCCTAATATTTAAAAATAAGGAAAAAAAAGAAAAGCTTGAAGTAATGGAGATGGAGGCATGTTGTTGAGCCCTAACGTTTCTCTCCATAAGCCTGAGGGACGTATCTGAGTCTGCCTGCAGGCGAGCTCCGTGCCCTCACTCGGTTTGTACCAGATGGCTTTGGATGTAAACCAGAGCACACTGGTACGCTCGGCATAAGAGGAGACACAAAGAAGCTTGAAAAAGCTGCGTTTATTTCTGGATTTTTGGAGCTTTGGGAAGATTTAACGTAACGATTACGAACAAACAACATTAAGAATTTTAGTAATAACATACAGAACCTGTCTAAGCACATAAGACCACTTTAGAGGTGAATGTTGGAAAGGTTTTGGCTTTTTTTTAAACATCTTTTTTTTTTTTTTAACCATCTCACTGTCTATTTTTTTTAATCCCCTCACCCCTACAGATTAGTTGAGGGCGGCTCACTGGGTTGGGCCGCTGTCACGTCCCACCGCTCGTTTTTTTGCGTAAACGCTGTTTTTTTTCCGCCTCCGGTCACAGAGGCGCGCTCTAGAGCGGCGAGAGAGGCTCAGCTCGGAGCCGTGGGCGTGCACGCGTGTGTGCCACTGCCATGCACGTGCGTGGGAGTTCATCAGCTCGTTAGAGACTAACCATCCTCTTTTGTTCACTTTTAATGCAAAAGAATGTTATTTCCAGTTTTAGAACAAATGTAGGCTACCTATAATTTGCACATCTCCTAGCAACAGGACTTTGAACTAACTAAATTTATCTACTTGCCAAAGTGTCACTATTGGCTGCACAGAAGGTGTGAAGGCATCTGAATCCACCATCGGCAGAGAGCAAAAAGCGCCAATCCAGAGATTATCGAACTTCTCGAGTTTATTAAGAAAATAGCTGCAAATAGGGATGAATAGATTCCAGACCATCACACAACCATCTATACTGTATGGTGTTGTTGAGTATTGACTCATATTTGTTTGAATAGGATTTATAGCTAAGGTCTAAAAGAATCCCCCCCCCTAAACACACACACAAAATGTCCTCTGACTTGTTGAATCCTGTTACTGTATTGTGATGATAAGCAAATGTTCTAAAATGACCCCACACTTTGTAGACACGCATTTTTTAAAATAGCAGCATCTCTTCCTCTCTCTCGATTTTTTCTGATTCAAAGTTTCTAAGGGGTTGTTTTTTCATTCTGTTTCCGATTAACCTGATTAGTTGCAACGCAGTCCTCCAGTTGTTGTCTTTTAAAATCAACTTCTTTTCCAACCTTCCATTGCCCTCGCTCCAAGATTTTTGAGCCCTGTTGCTTCCATTTTCATTACAGTGGCAAAATAATAATAATAATAATAATCTCACTGTCAACATGTGATGTGTTTTTTTGTTCGGAGAATATAAATTGATGAGATTTGTTCATCACTGTTTGCTGTTTTTAATTCATATTTTACACAAGTTTCCCAACTTTCATTTGGATCCCGGCTGCCGGGTTGAGCTCATTTTGCTTGTATTTGCACCTTCTCTTCAATCTGGGCCTCGGTAGCCGTGGAAGGAAATGCTCCCGCAGATGTGAGGGTTTTCAATCAGGATTAAATTGCATCAGCGGGCTGACTGTGCAGAAAGGCGGTCGGGCTGGCGGCGGTGATTGGATCTCCCCCAGACGCTAATACAGTCTGTACAACGCAGACGATACGGGAAGAAATCTGTTCAAACTCAGTGTAATGTTTCCCATTTCAAAGAAAGCCTGATGAAGTAATCCAGCTTTCATTCCATCAAGCCAGCCTTTTGTTTGACACACACACACACACATATAGACACACGTGTATTTATATGAGATAAGAAACACTTCTTTTCCACCTCTGTTTAATTGGGTACGTTTTTCTTTTAAAAAATTGTGAAAATAATCCTGACAGTGTTTCCACTCTATCCATGGGCCAACCATTGAGAAAGCCATCAGGTGTCATAACTTTTAAAGGTCTTTATTTATTTCATTCTGTTCCTTCTGCTCTCAAAGATAAGTAAAGACATAGAATTAGACTTATACTCAACTTTATTTATCCCTTGGTATTACTCTTCAGGGAAATCCTGGTTCTAGTAGCTTACGAAGAGTACAAGAGACCCTATATAGAGACAATATAGACAATATAAAAAGAGTGTATGTGGTGCAGATGTATATGTTTCCTTTAGAAATAAAGTATCTGTACAGTAAAGAGCAGAGTAAAAGTACAGACTACACAGTAGCTGACTTGGGTTATTGCAAGTAAATGCGCCAGCGTGAGGATCTCGTAATCTTGTGACGAACTGATTTGGACCCAAAGACACCCAGAGACGGAACGGTCAGTTAACAGAGTTTATTTCAGGAACGTGGGGTAGTCCGGGGGCGTGGTCAGGAGGGAGTCCAGGTTCGGCAACAGGTAATCCAATTCCAGCGACGGTACCAGGGGTAATCCAAACAGTGGTCCAAGTCCGGTCCAGGGTCGGAGACAGGGAAGCAGTCCAAAGGGGCAGGCAGGAACTCGGAGTCACGGGCAGGCGGGGTCGGTACACGGGTAGGCAGACAGGATCCAGAGACTGGGGAAGCAGAACTCAGGCAGGCGGACAGGTCAGACAGGGATCAGGCAGACTCGGGAATCGTAGGCAAAACAAGTCGGGATCAGGCAGGCAGAATAAGTATGAAATCGCTGGAAGTTCCTACCAAATGGCTTGAGACGTTCTGGCACTTGGGGCTGGCTGGGACAGAGCTTAAATGCAGGTGGAAACCATGATGGTTGATTGCGGGGTGTGGATACTGAGCAGGAGTGCAGACGGTGGGTGGAGCCAGCTCCAGTGCCAGGAACGTTACAAATCTAAAACGTTTTGAAAGCTCCACTTCCTGTTACCGCGGTTTGGCGTGGGACGGACGGCGGTCCAACCCCTGACCCTGCTGTCAGGACTTAGTAAACATCTGGTGGCACTCAGAATCCGCAGCGATTTGGAGTCTCACTACATGGACCCCCTCACGCCGGTCTTGAAAACCAGCTTTCTTTTTAAACCCAACCAACCACCGGAGGCCTTCTGTACCCACACACACACACAAAACAAACAAATAAAGCAGATCTCCATATGCCACTTCTGAATAGAGTGAATGCCCCCACATCGTCACTTGCTCTTCTCAGCTCTGACCCCCACCCCTCTCGGCAGCACCGGGCGTAGCTGAACAGCCTCATCAGGCTGTCACGCAGCCTCTGACTCACACTGTTTATCACACTCCACAGCGTATGAAAAGCGGCTCAGCGCTCCCGCCTGCGCGCCATCGCGCCGCGGAGACTCCGGAATGTGTCCCCGGGCCCTCCGGCCGTGTCCGGGGGCCGCGCGGGGACTCAGCCAGCATGCCTTAGCCAGGTCGCTTTGGTCTGCCCCCCCTCCGTGTTTCCCCGCTGGTCGTGAGACTCAGTAGTGCTCCGTCTGAATCAATTCACCCCTCAATAACTATTTCATGGTTATAGAAATCATCTTATTATGTAGAAATACAGTAGGGATGTCCCGATCCAGCTCTTTGTATTAAAGTTGAAAGTTATTTATCTACTTACTTAGTTGTCAGACTCATGCTGAACAGGGATTTACTCTTATAACAACTAAAGTTTACACAGACCTGTGGGTTACAGATGCTAATGCTAATGCTCGTGTGGGATCGGACTTAAAAATAAAATGGATCTGGAGTCTGGATCGGCAGTTTCTCGTGCCAAATATCGGATCGCGACAAGCCTAAAATACAGTCTAAAGATCAGGGGTGCACAAGTCTTCTACTCCTGCAGCTACAGCTTCGACCCCCCCCCCAAATAAAAAACAAACAAACATCAATAATATCCTCATAAACTCACAATATTATTTAGGAAAAAAGCAACATTTTACTCACTTACTTTTCTTGAAAGGCCCGTCTTGAAAATGGTCCTTACAGTAAATCCGCCACCAAATCATAAAATAGCTCCTACACCAACACAATTATATTTCGGTTTGTTTGCTAGCTGTGGCTGCTACGCTATCTGACTATCCGATCAGCGGGTGTGAATATGGTGACGTTGCCGTAGGCCTTCTGGAAGGCCCCTAGTGTCACCAACCTAAAATCTGATTGGTTCAAGCAACAGTTTAATCCATAATCAACATTTATTTTCTGTTAGAGGGCCTGCAGACCGGATTGTGAAGGCCTCCAGGCAGACATCTTTGACTTTGACCCTGCCTAGCAACAAATGATGGCTGAAATGTGATTGGTTAAATGCTTTTGTATGAAAATGCATGTCTGGAAGCAGCGCAACCAGGGCAAAAGCTATGAAAGGAAGCGGACAGACCGTTTAGAGATATTTAATAAGTATCCATTGACAAAATATAATTAACATGAGTCTGGGATTCTGATATTTTCTTAGGCCAGCAGAAAGGGCCTTGGAGGCCCTGAAGGCCCACCAGCGCTGTTCTCCAACATCCCCTTTTGTTCAATGGTCACCAAAGTTGTCGGAGAGCATGTCGGTTAAATGGTCAGAGCGTTGAGCTCTGTATTTGTCGGTGAAATGAAGACGAGGGAAAACAGCTTTCTATTGAGTCCCTGCTTTGAACTATACGACTGGCTTAAGTGGTCAGCCCAGTTTTGGATGGGGTGTGTTTGTTTTGTTTTTTTTGTTTTTTTTTTTTGTTTACCTCTTGTCGTGTTTAGCATTATGGCAACAGAACTGTAATCTGAGGTCCGTGCTCTGCCCGACAATTTTGCTTTTCCAAGGGAGGCCTGTCAGGGTGAGAAGCCTCCCTTGATCATCCAATACTGCTTTATTATTTATTTAAGATTAATTTTTGTTACAGAAGTAATATGGTGAATGCCAGACCAGGCCGGAGGATGGGAAAAAGAGAAAAAACAAAAACAAAAAATCAAATTAAAAAAAGGATGAGAGAATAAAGAAAAGGTAACAATAGCCTGCGCCGGGAAAAAGAGAGGGAAAAAATACAAAAACCCTCCATCCAGCGTCTGTATCTGTAGAAAGATGTCCGGTAGTCACCGTGGGCAAACCCGAGGGAGAACCTGTAGGAACCTGTTGTTTTTAAAATCCTGCGTCTTGAGCCTCGTTTGTGACGATTGTCCTTCTTTCTCCTCTTTCCTCGTCTGCCCGCAGATGTGCTGGTCAACGGGAAGCCGTGCGACTGCGACGTCATCGCCGACTGCAAAGTGGGCGAGGCCATCACCCTGGAGATCAAACTGACCAACCTCAGCAAGAACTCGGTGGGGCCGCTGGCGCTGACCGTGCTGCCCTATCAGGACTACCAGAACGGCGTCCAGAACTACGACCTGGACGAAGCGGTCACCTTCATTGGCTCCAGCACTTTCTACATAGACACAGTAAGTGGCACCACGAGTAGCCAACTGCCGTCTGGTCCAGGTCCAGTTTTCCCAAACTCTTTGGGAGAGGCAGTTTTTTAAACCGAGAAACAAAACCGGAGGTTTTTACGCACATTGGCAAACAAAGTGAAACAAAGATACTAGTTCTAATGGTCACTTTTAGAGTAACCAGACCCGTTATAGTTCCGGAGTGTAAAACTAAAGTGATCTAATAAGTATTCACAGGGGGAAAAAACAAGAAATGTGAACTTAAAGCTTCGTGCAGTTTGCCTTCATATTCTCTTTTAAGTCAGTTTATTTTATATTATAAGTCCATGACATCATTTAAAATGCTCGTAGTCATGAACACATTGTACGTCTGCAAACTGCTGTCTTTTTGATTCACCTCACAGGTCTCTGTGTGTTTTTGAGGGTAGAGAAACTAATTGTCATGTGTGGAATAAGACAAACATCTTTAGAGCTTGACACCAGAGGACTGCTCATTGTCCTTTAGCCACCATCGACGAAATTAGAACGAGAGCAGAGGAGAGAGGGGATTCTCCAAGTGAGCCATTGTCTGCCACAAATTCTTTCAACAGATTTTCAAATTTCTTCTGAAAGTTGAAGCATGCTACAGGCGATTAAAAAGACGACTCTGTCGGTTCCAGAGCAAAGAACTTTTAGGTTAACAAAGAGGATGAAAGACAGAATAAATTCTTCTCAATCAGAGAACATAACAGCTAGATTCATTCGGGGGGGTTATTGTTCTCACCTTTTCATCCAAACCAGCAGGCGCCCTCCTGCTGACAGTGTCTCCTCAGTTCATTAAAAAAGACAAAAAAGGATGTCTACTAACAGTTCTGACTTTGTGTTGTGTCTCTTTTATTACCAGGTTAAATCCAAAGAGAGTTCTGTGTGCGAGGGCGCCCTCCTTTTCCTCTACACGGGAGATTTTGATTTAAATATCAAGTTCCAAGATGACAGTACTCGACGAGAGCTTCCTCTAGCCTGGTTCACTCTGCCCAGCGTGCACATAAGAGCCGTGGATCCTCTGCTGCAAGCGGGGGCCTAGGCCTCGGGCAGCTTAGCATTTTGGTTTGATGGACGGATAAAGCTATGTAAATACAAATTTAGAAAAATAAAGACCTTCAGGGTAGATTTACATGTAAATACAACTTTGATAAAAGTTCATCACAGCCAATGTGTGCTCCAAATGAAAAGATTTTACCAGTAGAAAAGAATGGAGGTGGAAGCTAACTCCAGCTAGCGTGCAGCTAGCAAGAATTAGCCAACATTGACGACATCTGTTGACCTATTTCCATTTAACTGTGATAAGTCTGAATGTAAACCGCTCCATACAGTCATACAGAATGATGAACTCTCAGTTGTGTTGTTTGATAGTTCTATTTTGTTTAGTTTTTTTTCTCTTCTTATTTAACAGTGAACTTGAGCGGGTCATTTCGTAAGTTTTAGCTTGTGAGATGTTAGCCTGACAGATAGCTTGGATAGTGGCAACCTGTTACTGGTGAACTAAAGCAGCCAAGAGAAGAAAAAGGACACCGAGCCACGAAATGCACACTCAAGAAATCCAAATGAATTTGGAACCATTTCTTTTTGTTGTACTCGTGCACTCAGATTTTCTTCAACACTGTAAATCACATTGGGGGTTTTTTTTGTTGATTTTTCTTGTTTATTGTACCTCATTTTCAACATCTTTAGTTATTTCATGTGCTGACGGCTTTTTTTTCTCACTTTTGTAATAGCAGACAATGATTATTGAATTTAACTGCTGACAAATAACTGCTGTAAATAAATGTTCAGACAACATTTGGTCATTTTGATTCTTTGTGTTTTCATTACTCTGTCTTTGCCATTATGTGCAATTATATACAGCATTTCTCTTTATTAACCCTCAAAGGTAACTTTTAGTGGCATAGTTTAAAAAATAACTAAATGTAGTATACGGTAAAGCTGCATACTTATGATTTTTAATACTGAATTCATTATTTGATAATCAACTGATGCCTTATTCCTAATTATTTGGCAGGTTGTGAGGAATTTTCACAGAATGTTAACATATTGTGATATGGACACTGAAATCAATTTGTTTTTTAATTGATTATTCTGAAGAGAAATGGCCAGGTACACCACACATTGAGGGACAGCTGTTTACAAAAAAAAGGTAAGGATGCAAAATACATCCCGTAGATTGCTTTTGTTTTAATTTTTTCCATGACAACCTATATATCAGATGTCTTTTAATTTGTAAGATGAGAATTTTCTTTAACTTCCAGGTTTTAAATCATCAGCGGCCTTAAAATCATAAAAGAAAGACAATTAAATAATCACAAACATTTGATAAAGATACTCTGCGTGATGTTAAAACGTTCCTGAAAATTGAAGAGATCTCTGCCTGTTGAACAAACATGTTAATGTTGACCATCTTAACGCATTACTTTTTTTGGTTAAATACAGACTATCTGGACTGGAAGTTCGTGAACACACCCATGGCACCGATGACAACCCATCTGTCTCAGAAGTGTTTTCAATAACGAATCAACTCTGAAGAGCTGCCCGCAAACTGCCAGTCACAGCGGAACATTAAAGGGAAGTTTATCAGAAACATGAAACAAATGGAGTATGAATCAGTGCTTTGGTGATCTGTATCCTGCCGGATTCCCATTAATGTCTGTAATAAGGAGCACTTTCCATGTAGGACTGTAGATCTGCACATAAAACAGTTTCCTTAAGCTCTTTGTTTTCATACAAGGCCCCATATAAGTCTTTAAGTCGTTTCAGTGCCAATGTTTGAATGAAAGACAAAATTTTCCAGTCTACAAAGTCTTGTCCTTTTAAAAAAATACTTTTTCAAAGTGTTTTTTAAACCAGCTTCCTGAAACACCCCTTGTGGCTTAAAGCTGTATTTAGCTTCCAACTTTCAGAAGAGCTTGGCCTGGTACACGTGAATAAGGTATGTAAAAATATCTCAATGTTTTGTATTTACAAGACCTGGCAGGAATATTTCTAGTCTGATTGTTCTGTGTCATTTCAGAGTAAGTTTTGTCCAAATCACAATCTCCAATGTCTAAAAAGTTAATAAAACCGGGGTTCACTTCAGGTAGGATATCTACCTTCTTTTTGTGATCATGTGACCGTATTACAGAGCCTATTTGGATACTGAAAATGTGAGGTCAATGCTATGAAGTACTGATTCTACAGTCGTTGAGTCTCAGACTCTGAGAAAAACATTGATTTATTTAACATCAATCAGGTCTTACTTTAATTAACTATATCTGGCTCTTTTTTAATGGTTTTTTTACCTTCCTGTTTTTGTGAAATCCTGTTTCCCAACAAAAAATTAGGATTTCAATCATCATCTGTAAACTCTGGGAGCTCTGTACCCAAACCTAACTTTATTCGAATACGTATTTGTCTGGCATTTGCCACCCACTGTCATTTTCTAAACAGCAAACTGACCATCTGAGAATTGAGGACACCTGGAACAGACTTCAAGCACCTCATCTTTAAGTTTAAATGAGGTTTCTTATCGGGTATCAGCACTCTGTTATTAGCCCCCTAGCTTCATTACGTTTTGGCATACCCGTAATTCAGATTTTAATCAGCCTAACAACCATCCATCAATCAGCGCTGATGCATTTCCTCCCTCTCCGATCTAAGATAGCAACAACAGGGATGAAAACCATTTGTTTGAGCGCAAACAGGAGCTTTTGATTTAGAGGCGAAGAAATTTCCTGAAGCTCTGCTGTGGAACATCATTTCCTTGTCTTTTATCAAATATTTCTTCCGTTTCTTCCAATCCCGAAGAAGCTATGGAGGAAGGAATGAGATATTCATAACCTCGAGACATAAGGCTTAAACATCAGTCAAATGTGGATGGATTTAAACTCTTTTTCTACTTTTCTTCATGTTTGATTTTACATTTTCAGAGCTGAAAACTGACAACAGTCTTCTCCATCTATACAGAAACTGGGGTGCACAGAAATGTCTTTTAAGCTGAAACGTATTAAGGTGTGGACAGGCTGCTGCTTTAAAACCAGAGTCGACGTCTCCGCCTCCCCCTGTTCATCACGGCTGAATATCTGCTGTCGTTTAGAGGAAATCTGCCCCCGGCAGGCCTCTTTGAGTCTGGGTTGAGCTGAAGAGTGTCGCACTACAAGTTGCTGTCATTGTACTTCCTCAAAAAATGTGCTGGGAGTCCTGTAGGTGGGCTGAGCAGGCACTCAAGACGGGAGAACGCGCGGCTAAATATAGAGCCACGACAGATTCATGCGCTATTGATTTGAGGAGCTGTTTGGACTCTTCAGGGGCTGAATCGCTGAAACAATGTGGTTACTGTCTCCTGTTTTCTGTGGAAGGTTATTAAAACCATTAGGATTAGTCAAACGGAACATAAGCTCGGTCTTAAGTACGTGGCGGTAAACCTCTGGAAGCCCAACAGAAAAGGAAATTACGTCAATGTGCAGCACAAGTTCATAAAAGCTTTCACATTTCCTGCTCTGGTCTTTAATGTACTGAATGTAGTTTCGAGCATTTGGATAATACAAAAAGGAAAAGCCTGCTAAGATGAAACACGAAACAAAACAAATCATTCCAAGGGATGTCACACCTTCAGTGGAGGTGTGTTAAATCTTCTTCCCTCTGATAGCCTGACACAACTCCAAATCTCTCCCAATAATGAAACACAGTAGTGATAAGTACAGATTTAAAATTGGATCGAAAAGAGCTAAATTGATGTAGTAGTGTCATGAAATCATCTGCTACAGAGGAAAGATTTTGGTAAACAATTTTGATGTCATGTGTCAAGCTCTTTCTGAGTGGAGAATCCAGATGAGAGTTTAGGATTAGACCAGAGGTGGGCGGCTTTAATTAATATTTCTCCCAATATTGTTTTTCTCATCAAAGTCATTCACGATCGGTTTTGTCAGAGTAATTCTAAAACATGCTTTTATGGTAAAAAATGGTATATTTTCAGTACCAAACTACTGATAAATAAATAAATCTATTGAAAGTGGCACCCCATCGTTTCCATGGTTCTCCATCTCTCATGTTGAGATTGTCAAACCCCAAAAGTGACTCAAATCTGTGATAGGTTATAAAAGTTACATTTAAATTATTTCCAGTGTTCACATTCACCAGTTTCTTTACATTTAGAACAAAAACACATTTCAAATTTTATACCAGCAACAAAAAAAAGATCAAAGTTTAAAGTTGACAGCTTTTTGGAGCATTCCTCAAACTGCAGATTGAGGTCAGAGGTGGGGGTGTCATGATTGGTTATAAAAGGAACCTCCACAAAAGGCTCAGTCCATCCAATAGAGGGGAGGAAGTTTTGTATTAACTCTGTAGACACGTGTTTTTTTAGACTGAACAACCATAATCTGTGAACGAATGCATCAGAACTAATAACAGAAACGGTTCAATCCATTTTAATTTTGTATTAATTAATTTTGCCATTCATTTAATTTAAACATATTATTTATTTCCTATTTAGCCAACTTTATTGTTTTTGTAACTTATATATTTTTTTATTGAGCCTCAGAGGGTAGAAACATTTTATTCTATGGTGGATTCACAGCACGTCTTGAGGAACATTCCGTACCATCACGCTCTTTATCAGCGTATAAATACATAAATGAAAATGATTGGACGATTTGCTTTGTTCAAATGACATCTCAAACAACTGCCTTCACCTGTGCCAGTAAACAGCATTCCTGCTAAAAAACCCATTACAAGCCCCTTACCCTGAAGCTGTCCTCTCCTCATTCTGAGGACAAATCAGCTATCAGAATGTAGCACCAATCATCCTTCACTGGTTTGATCAGATTAACCTTGTTTGAAAGCACTAGTAGCATTAAAATCAGTCTCTTTAATGCCTTCTTTTTTCTCCAGGATGGTCATGGAATCGTGGGACATGGGCTTTATTGGTAGATCTCAGGCTCTAAACGGGAGTTTTTGTGTGTTGTATTTGTCATGATAAGTCAACAGCCAATTTATGAAAAGCATAAAGAATGAGATTCAGCTGACAAAAATGTTTAGAAGCCATGCAGCAGTTTAAATAGGGGCAAATATAAAAAGGAATATAGTAAATGAGGAAAGAATAGCATATTTTATTTAGCATGAACACCGTTATTTGTCAGATACTGTATTTGTGTCTTCCAGACACTGTTAGTCTGATGTTGATTGCTTTATTCAAAATATTTTCATCCTTAATTTACCACTTACTAAGATTTCCAAAATTAGTTAAGAATGCATAACATAACACATACCAACATATACCAAAATTTCAGCCAATAGTTATTTGGAATCAACTTGTTTTGCCATGTTTTCATCAACAATTTCAAGAGAAACTAAAGACATATGGAGGGGAAAATAATGGTTCTCTCCAATGGGCTTCTTATGAATGAATAGTATGAAAGTATAAAGATTCCTTGTTTAAGCTTTTTATTATATGTAGATAGTTCTTCCATTGAGATTTTGAATGATGTGTGTACAAAGACCGTCCAGCCAGTAAACAAAATCAAACTCTGAATGATCTTCCAAAAGCTGGTGCTCTTATTGCTATAAGTCTCGCAGGTTTAGAGAAAAATATAAAAAAAACACAAGAGGTGGGTCAAAACTTCTGCACATTCACGCACAAAAAGCCTCTCTTTATTTGTACAGTGCATGGTGTACATTTGCACATCTTTTCTTCCGCTGATCAAAACATTGTGTTGTGTTGAGCTTTCACTGGATTGGAAACTTGTAAACACGAATTTTCGAGGGGCCTTTTAGTGTTTCCCGGACCGGGATCCAGGAAGAACAGGAACCACCCCCTCTGATATCTAAAAAAAAAGAAGACAAATGTGTGTTCAATTTGGTTTAAATAAGAAAAAAACAAAAAAAACAAAGGGTTTTTCCCTGTTCTTATATTTCTATTATACAAAAACCGTAGATGATGCAGCACCATGTTGTTTTCTGAAATGAATCAGGTAAAAAAAGAGGGTTTGGGGTTTAGTTTCAGCACCATGGACAGCGCTCTGGTTTGGGAAACGGAATCTCCATCCTCTGTTGGACCGTTCACAATAAAGAACCCCTCTCGTGTCCGTATCTGCGCGTGGTCAGCGTGAAAGTCAAAGCTGTCCGTCCATATGATGAGTAGGAGTGGTCATCGTGCGTGCGTGTGTGGGGGGGGGTGGAGAGGGGGCGTCCATGCGCGGGCAGAATTTCAGGCCGGAGACGGGAGTGAAAATCGTGACACAAAAAGAGCAAAAAAACACAGACAGGAGGAGCGACGCCCACCGATTAAAGTCTGGAAGTGTGTGGAGAATCACATTTAGGAGCCTCAAAAAAATACGAGCACTTCGTCACGCGCGTGGACAAAAGAAAAGAGACACGACGAGGACGCAAACCTTTCTCTTTTTTATCTCCCAAATCCCCCAATAATCGAACTGATGAGCAGTCAGTCCGGCCGTGGAGCCGTGGCGCGCGCCCGGCCGTGCGCAACAGAGCGCGAGAGCCCCGGCGGGCGCTGAGCGCGCGCGCTGGTCTCTTCTCTCTTCTCTCTCCATCCGAGAAAAAAGCACTTCGGCACTTTTTCTCCCCACTTCCAGCTTTGACACACCCCGAAAAAAAAGGAAAAGACATCCACAGTTGTGGGAACTTGTTTTGCGCTGGAACTTGTTGTCCGACAGAAGCTCGGTGCTGATTTTGGAGAATTTTCCAGTCCAAACACATGTTGAACTGCTGGTGGAATAGACACAAAGCGGGAATTAAAAGGAAAAATATATTTTTTCTATCATTTCCCCCCCCCTGTTGTGAGGAACAGTCCCCACCTCGTGCGCCAGCGCGTTCTCGTGTGAACCCTCCCATCTTTGGAACGACTCAGCATATTTCTGCTGAAGATGCTCGCAGCTCATGAGGGAGATTCGGCGTTTTCACGGACAGTAAATCGACCCCCCCCCCCCCCCCCCCCCCCCCCTTTCTGCTGTTTATGGGCAATGGCTGCTAAAAATAGCGCGCGCGCTGCCGGGGCTGCGGTGAACAGGTTGCTGTTTGGCTGAAACTTAAAGGGTGAGGGGAAGAAAGATGTCCGGCCGCAGGACATTTTAATCCACGTCCCAAAAAAAAAAAAAAAAAAAGTTGGGGGAGTGAAGCTTCGAAAAAGGGGGATCCAATTAGATAGAGAGAGCCCTTTAGAGCTGTTTGTGTGGACGGTTTGCTCGGCTGTGTGGGTTTTGGGGTTTTGGGTCGGGGGGAGCGGAGACCGGCAGCAGATCTTCGGGTGGGCTTGTGGATGGCACTGCGCACCGGGAGGACTTGGTTTGGGCAGGTCTTGCGCAGGGTCTCTCGGCTGCAGGGCTCCTGGTCCCGGCGGTCCAGCAGCCTCTTGTGCCTCTCCGCCAACCAGGAGCAGGACCCGGGGCTCCGGGGTCGTCGCGAGGCGGGGGGGGACTTCCACCGGTGCTCGGACTCCGGCGGCCGCGGTCCCCGGAGCGCGCCTCTCCGCGCCTCCTCCTTCCCCCGCGCCTGCTGCGCCTTCCCGGGGAACCCGAGGGGACATGAGCCCCTCGGTCGCCGGTTCCTGTTGGCCATGAAGCGGCAAAACGTGCGGACCCTATCCCTGATCATCTGCACGTTCACCTACCTGCTCGTGGGGGCCGCCGTCTTCGACGCCCTGGAGTCCGACTTCGAGATGCGCGAGAAGGAGCAGCTGGAGGCGGAGGAGAAGCGGCTCCAGGGGAAATACAACATCAGCGAGGAGGATTACCGCAAGCTGGAGAGCATCATCATGGAGGCTGAGCCCCACCGGGCCGGGGTCCAGTGGAAATTCGCCGGCTCGTTTTACTTTGCCATCACGGTTATAACCACCATAGGTAAGCCCCCCCCCCCCGGTCCCTTTCATGAGTCAGTCTCCATGGGCATATGGGCGCATTTGGAAGGGATGTGTGAGCGGGTTTTTTGCGGGCAACAGTTAGGGGAAGAGACACGTGTTGAGAGGGGTCGCTTTTTGTGCGGGGAGTCTGCAGATAAAGTTTGTCAGCAACATGTTGCAGCACACCGAGCCTCGCGTGAGCACAGCTGCGACGGCACGTGAGGGGGGGGATCACAAACATCCCAAATAGGAGCAGCATCTTTGCTTTGAAAACAGTCCCAGAATGGACTCCGGTAGTGCGGCCCGGGGGGCCTGGGGTGGATGGGTGGGTGGTTGGGTGTGTGTGTGTGTGTGTGTGTGTGTGTGTGTGTGTGGTGAACTTTTGACGGGGCGTCAGCAGCACGCAGCACCAGAGCTGCTGGTGCTGAACGGACAGCTCCTCCGGGGTCAGCCTCTGACCGCCCCACGGTCCGGCCGCGAGCCTGACGTCATCTTTCCCACATTCCGCTCTTTTACGGCTCCGGGAGCGTTTTTTCTTTCAGCCCCTTTAGGGACAAACTGTACATCGTGTTTGTTTACAGCCTCAGACAAAACAGGCCTATGCACAAAGTCAAAGTCACTCCAGATTTACATTGTTTTTTCTCAATCCCCATTTATTTTGTGATTCTTCTGATTGGTCACACACACCACAGAGGTTTGGGACTTTTTATAAGAGGCATTTGCAACAGAAAAGTTGATTTATCCACAGAAATATATAGCAAAACCAAATTCAGAATATCTCAAAACAACATTTAGCTTCTCGGTCAGTCACCTGACCGTGTGTGTTTCTGTTCAACTAGAGGGCGTCCAGCCTGTGAGGAGGAAGGAGGGAGGGAGAGGGGAGAGTGGGGGAGAGAGGGGGGGGTTACTTAATGCACCAGGCCTGTCCCCCCTGTCCTGTTTGCCAGGCAACACTTAACGGGGACGAGTGCAGAGCGCAGCCAAAAGGTGGACCCGCCGTTTGTTTCCAGGCTACAACAGCAAAAGTCATTGTAATATTCATGTTGTGAGAAGTGGTTAAATGGACCGCAGCGGGCCACGGAGCCTCCGCAGGAAACAGGCCATCCTCTGCCTGTTCTCAAACTCTCAACGCAGGGATTCATACAATTCAAAGTAGATTAAGGTAAAAGTTCTGTGTTTGAGGACAGAAACAACATTGTGTGCTGGCTGTTTGACTCTGGGAGCTGGATTTCATTTCCATGCTTTGGTTCCAACCACGATTTACTGTACTTTACGAACCCCTTGTTTGTAGATAGAAATGAAATCAACACTGATTGGACTTTTTCTCCCATTGTTTTGGTCATTTACAGCACTGTGCAAAAGTGCAAAGCAAGGAAAACTGGAAACAGGAGGAGTAATGTAACAGAAAACAGTGTCAACATGAAGGAAAATACAGTATATCCAGTCAAAAAAAGGAGCTTAAAATTAGCTCCAACGAGCTTGAAAGTTCATACTTGTTTTCTTTTGTCATATGTAATCTTTGGGAATAGTTGTCCAGGCTTCATAAGGACATCCCAAAGCTCTTTTTCTGTTTTCTGTCAGGATGAGCAGGGAAGTATTATTGCCTCCATCAGACAATTTTCAGTTTTCAGATTTTTGGATTTTCAGTCATTTGGCTGAGGTATGCCAAATGACACAGGATTTTTGCCTTTCTTATCTATAACTTTTCAACAGCCATGGACAAATTTCCGATTAGGTTTTTTATAAATAGCACATGGAACAGATAAAGGTGTTTTTTCTTACTTCTTAAGGAAATCTTTAAATCATTCAGATGTGTTCCATCTACCAGGCTTTTCTAGCTGAGTTGTTGTCCAAGTATTTGGTGCCGAAATGCAATTTTCTGTTTGTCAGAGCTCACATTTTCACATTTATAGATACAAAATTTATAAAAATTGGGTCAAATGGATGTATCATGATTAAAGGCTTCAAAAAACCTCCCAAAGAAACCATGTAAAACTGGTTGTTTGCTAAATTATCTGTTGTATTTTGACATGACACTTGACAGTGTTCTTTTTTTATTCTTGAATTATTTGCATCTCAGTGTTAAGGGACTTAACAAAGAAAAAAATACATATACCTGTAAGTGCCAGTGTTCAGAAAGACCTTCAGAAAACAGAATACAATTATTGGAACACTGATCATTAGCTTCAAGCCTGACTTACAGATAAAATTGGAAAAAATGGTTATATTGACCACACATAGGATCAATCAAAAACCATAAAAATAAAAAAAACTCAAAACCTCAAATACAGTCATCCAAACTTTAAGTATCATCTGAATAACTATCCTCCCTCATTTTAAATCAGCTCTATGGCGTGTTTCCATTTTAAGTTAAAAATAGTCTTTTACCATGAGATGGCCATGTCTAACATATAAAGCTCAGGCCAGTAAAATTTGAAAAACCACGCCATTTGATACAATTGTTCATAGTTATGTAATGTGTCTAATTGGAAATGATGTGTTCAGAACTGTCACTGTGATGTGAGTTCTGGTGGAAGTCTCACAGGATAGTGTAACTGTAATTGTGTAACTGTAATCAGACTGTAATCTCCCCCACCCCTGTATTCTGAGCTGATGATGCCGGACTGTTGACAGATGCCACTCCAAGCAGGTCAGAGCCAACAGTTTCCTTTTCCGTTAGCGTTCGATGCAGCCACCTGTGGGTTTAGGCCACGGGGGCTTTGATTTCCTTTTCTCTTCTCTTTTTAATTCGATCAGTTCCTGGTGTACCTGGAGGCTCCGCCTTTGCAGGTTGCAATCAGCTCACAGCATGAGATTTATCACCTGTAAATGCAGCAGGCAGGGAGGGAATTTTCTTCTCCGAAATATGGGAATCGGATTTGTTCCCCCGGTACCCTGAAACGAAACCCCGCCACAGAGATAAGGGAACGATCAGAGCCGTGTCAACTCCCAGCCACTGGTGGAAGCTAATTAAACCCAGCGCCACCGGGCACGTCTGGGAAAGTAAAGAACAAAGGTGCGTGCGAGGATACGGGGTTCTTCACACTCAGGCTGCACCATGTGTGCTTTTACACCGAGTAATCGGAGGAGGCTTGGGTGGTGCACGAGCAGCGCACGTTTGTCATGTTCACTGGAAGTCTGAAGGGCTCTTTTCATTAATATCGCAGCCTTTTCCATCATTATAATAAAGTGGACACTCAGAGGACAGTTACATAATATACTAATGGCTGACAAATTAAAGGAAACCCCGCAGTAGTTAGACCGATGTGAATGAGAGCTTGGCGGATGTTTTTTTTTTTTTTTGCAGTGGTGTGCTGCAGGTTCCCACTTGTTGGCTTCACGTCAGCATCCCTCCCTTCTTTTTCCTCCCGCTCCCCATCTGCACCGCCTGATGTATAATACAACATCCAGACCCACACCTCGGGGGACATTGTGCATGTTTATCCAGCCATGTGCGGCTCTAAGAGTCCCGAGAGCTGCACAGCTGACATGTGAGGGAAATATCTGAGGAGATCGGAGCTACTAATAATAAACGTGATAGTAATATCAGGCAGAGCAAGAAATGTGGATTACAAGTTTCTAAAAGTAAGGTAATATAAGGAAAGATTTGGAAAACGTACTCCATGTAGATAGATAGGTTAATTAACAAGAGGCTCAGTAATATTAAGGAGAAGTAAAAAGATTAGCTGCAGTTCTCCAATAAAAGAGCTGGAGGTATAGAGTCTTTCATAAGTTAATATCAGCAAAGGTTCACCGGTCTTCAGTGTTATCCAAGGAATTCCCTAAATATTCCATGATCTACCATACATAAAATCATCACAAAATATGTCAAACGAGGATACAAGGGTCCGGAAAAAAAATCTGTTTGAGATGCTTCTTATCTTCAGGCTGCTCTGCATTAAAAACAGCCATGACTCTGTCTACAAAAAAACATCGCAGTGGCCCAGAAATCATGGTCCCAGAGCACAGTTCACCGTGCACTATCGTGCAGTGTTTGTACATTATCAGGAGTCCACCAGGGCCAAAGTGTTCCATTTGTCCAAATTTGACTCTGCTACTGAGTGGAACCCCACGGGGATAGCAAGAATTTAGATTCTATGAAATCTCGATACACTTTTAACTAGTTAAAGGCTTCTGTGTGCTTTAAAATAAACCTGGCATCAACATAGTCCAGTCCCACTGTCAAACCAAAGGCAGAAGTGGCGTTCGATGATATTCGCAGGTGAAGAGACCGCTATGGAAATAGCAGCGCGAAAAGCTGCCTCTGCCCACGAAGGATTCCAACATCTGTCAGCCACAGGTGGAGGAAACAGCCTCCCTGTTGTCGCCCAAAAGCAAAACACCGGAACATCCAGCAGGTCTTCCTCATTACCAGCAGCCCTACCTAAGCTGTGATGATGTAGACTTAGACTTAGAATTAGATATAGACTTGTACTTTATTGATCCCTTGGGAAGACTCCCTCAGGAACTTAAAGTTACCAGCAGCTTACAGGGCAAAAAGGTGGCACACAAAGAGCAAAATGCAAAAAAATACAGATTAAGTACAGGTACACACTAAATGTGAATAACCCCCCAAAAATAAGAGTATATATACAAAGTAAAAGATAAGAACCCCTAAATTAAGCAAAAATAAGCAAAGAATAAGAATATAAATACAACATGAAAATAAAGAGCAGTTGAGGCTGCCTGCCCACGAAGGATTCCAACATCTGTCAGCCACAGGTGGAGTAAAATGTAGACTTAGACTTAGACTAAAATTAGACTTGTATTTTATTGATCCCTTGGGAAGACTCTTAGGAAATTAAAGTTACCAGCAGCTTACGGGGCAAAAAAAGTGCCACACAAAGAGCAAAATGCAAAAAAATACCAAAAATACAGATTAAGTACAGGTACACACTAAATGTAAATAGCCAAAATAATAAGAATATATATACAAAGTATAAGATAAAACCTCCTAAATTTAAGCAAAAATAAGCAAAGAATAAGATAGAAATACAACGTGAAAATAAAGACCCCTAAGAAAATCTAGGAGTTTGGCGGATAGATTGACCAGTGATGTGGTATTGGACCATGTGGTTTGGCCTGATAAATATGGAGTTCACATTTTACAGAAAAATCCAAGCGTTGCGACTCCTTCCCTCTGTCCTGTGTCACCTCCCCCCCCCCCTATCAGGAGTTGTACAGTCCGATGGCGTGGGGGACACGCCGGACCAGCGGCCTTTTTGGGGCCGGTGCCGGCCGCCATTACCCATCTGTCGGCCCCTCCTCACGCAGACTGACCGGGAGCCGGGGCTATTTATTCCCGGTGATTAATAGCACTGGATGTGACAATTAGCGCTGAGAGCGTGTCGCCAGTGCACGGAGTCCTCTCTGAAACTCAGCTCAGAGGGGGGGGGGGGGGGGGGGGGGGGGGCGGCTGCGTGCTATAGAGCGCATACGTACCCCCCCCTCTCCTCGCCATGCTGGCCCGCGTTGCCAGGAGACTA